TCCCGGGGCAGGCTCCCATGGGGGTTTGGGCCTGCCATGGGAAGGGGGTTGCCTGCTGGGGGAGGGGAGAGAGTCAGGCCCGGAGGAGGCACGTGCTGGCTTCCCTCTGAGGGGAGAATCCTGGGAGGTGGCAGATGCAAGGGACTCTCTGCTGACACTGTCATCCCACCCCATCTGTGCTCCCCGCTCCCCAGATCCCACTCCCGTCCCCAGCCACAGAACTGTCCCCACTCACGTCCCCACCTACAGAACTGTGTCCCCATTCCCATCCCCTGTCCCCACGGGCACCCTGTCCCCAGCTGCAGAAACCTGTCCCCACTGGCACTGTCCCCTGCTGCAGAACCCTGTCCTCTGCCCTCCCAGCACCCTGTTCCCTCCCCCCCCCCCCCAGCCACAGAACTGTCCCCACTCACGTCCCCACCTACAGAACTGTGTCCCCATTCCCATCCCCTGTCCCCACGGGCACCCTGTCCCCAGCTGCAGAAACCTGTCCCCACTGGCACTGTCCCCTGCTGCAGAACCCTGTCCTCTGCCCTCCCAGCACCCTGTTCCCTCTCCCCTCTCCCCAGCCACAGAACTCTGTCCCCACAAAATGTACAATTATAAATGCTTCATTTTAGATTCAAATAGCATGAATAAAAAACAGACCATTTATTTCATAACTATAAACACGTGATTTTAATTTTATATATCACAATTTAAAAATAAACTGTTTATCAGAGTGTGTAAGGGCCGGGGATAGCAAGTGCTGGAAAGGAGGAGAATAGAGAGGGCTGGGCTTCAAGGAAGGGGCGGGGCAGTGGATCTTCACCTGTTTTGAGATTTAAAAAGTGATCTTGGGTGTAAAAAGGTTGGAGATCACTGCGCTAACTAAACTGACGGGCTAACTACTTTGCCCTACTTACACATTGTAAGAGGTCTTGGAGCGGTACAGGCCTTCCCATCTCCCTGTTACTTGGAAGAAGCCGCTCTGACTCAGACAAAGGAGAGAAAAAGATAAAAATTCCTTTTTCCCAGAAATCCCTACCAGCATTACCATAGGCTGACCAGATACCTGGCGAGAGACAGGAGGTATAGTTAACCCCTTAGTCACCAGGTTGCTGGTCATGGTTATGACAGCTCCTCAAAAGTGAAAAATGTTTCAAGTGCCATTTTGATTTCTAGAAAGAGGTTAATATGACCACTCTACTTAGCGTCTGCATACAATTTTACCCTGCTATTTACATGATGTAACTTCACATAGGCACACTATATGCCAGTAATGCAGTATACTGGAGTAGACAAAATATGGCCCATAGGCCATATCTGACCCTTCAAGCTGGTGGATCTGAGCCACACCCTCAAAGTGGCCAGCTGCAGGGGCCATGTGCTTCTCTGAGCACTGTGAGCTTGGTGGGAGAGGGAGAACCTTTGCATGCTGCTCCATCCCCAGCACAATCTTTCAGCTCCCACAATCCTTCAGCTGCCTGGATCAAGTTTGCAGAGCACGCAGAATGTGAAGTATCCACCCCCCAGAGAGAAGCACATGGCCCCACGCACAGGGCCACTTTGATCAGTATGGGGAGGCATAGAAGGCAGGGAGCTGGGTTGTTCGCTGGGAGCTACCTAGGTAAGCACCTCCCAGCCAGAGCCTGTACTTGGCACCCCAGCCTCTCCCCTCAACCCTCTGTTCCCCCTACTATATCCCCTCCTGCACCGCTGCCCCAGGTCACAACCGCCTCTCAGATCTTGTACCCCCCTTCTGCACTCCAATCTCCTACCCAGAGCTCCCTCCTGCATAGGGATGTTAAACTTAGATTAATTGGGTAAATGAATAGTTGATGCAATTTGCATCGACTATTCAATTAATCAATATGTGGGTCTCTGATTTAACTGTAGCAAAAGCCAAGGGCTGTTCCTACATTTCAAAGGCAAAAGTGCTGTGGGAGTATGGGAACAAGCAGTCCCCCACTGGCCTGTGCTTCCTCCAATGTTTCAAAGTAGCAGCACCACATGGAGCCCAAGGTCAGTTGGGGACCCCAAGCTGACCCCAGGCTCCATGCAGTGCTGCTGCTTTGAAATGCCACATGCAGTCCCCAGCTGGGCCCAGGCTGCATGTGTTATTTCAAAGTGGCAGTGCCGCATGGAATGCAATGTCTGGCCTCAGGCTTCATGTGGCACTGTCTCTTTGCAGCATCCCCTCCTCTTCTGACAGAAGCAGCAAGTGGGGGGAAGGAAGTGATTAGTCCACTATCCAATAAGAATTTGCTTATCGATAGTTGACTAGCTGTTCACACTCCTGCACCCAACCTCCATACCTCCTCAAGATCATAAAAGAGGTCCTTGACTATTTACCAAATTCTTAGAGCGCAGTCTCATCAAAAATTATTGCTCACCTCTGCACTATATGTTTGGGGAGCACCTAGTAATCCTCCACATTCATCATTTTTATATAAATTGTGATATTTCACATTAAGCATACCATGTGAGGTATCAGAGAAAGAACAACAGCTTCCAGCAGGTTATAACCTATCTAAAATATATAATGTATTATTAATGCACATATAATTAAAAGAATGTTGTAGTATGGTTTTCACTAAAATATGCTGTGGGCTTGGGAAGTGCCCAGATACTAGTTTTCCAGAGTCAACAACAAGGGAAGTAATCAATGCCCAGATGGGTGCTGAACAGACATCACCAACTACCATTCAGCAGAGGAGTTACAACTCTCAGGAGACCGAGCAGATTATTGCTTCACATTGTGACTCAGCAGTGGCCACCAGACATGCCTGGACTTGAGTCCTTCAATCACATGGACTAAGGGTATAAAACAGAACACAGGCGCCCCATGTATTTGGCCTTTTGTCCACCTCCCACCTGTGCTGCAAGCAATAAGGACACTGGGAAGACTGAAGGCTCCAACAAGAGGAGACTTGACCCAGATTTCAAAAATGAAACCTGTGTAACCTTTGTACTATGAACTGTGATATCCAGTGAGGTGAGGAAAACTACTTAATCTAGAAGGTTGCCCAGACTCATAGCGTGAGAGTTTAAACTGCATGCTGATATTTTATTTCTTTTGGTAATGTCTCAAACTTTTTGCCTATCACTTTAATAATCAATAAACTTGTTTTACTCTTTATCTTTACCAGTGAGTTTGCCTGAGTTGCTTGGTAAATCTGTGGAAGTATACAAAGTGAGCCATATCCACTTTCCATTGATAAATGGGAAGCAAATAATAAACTTTCATTGGTCAAGAAAGGGTCTTTAGCAGCGCAAGGCGGTATATTTCTGAGGTGAAAGACTGGGAATTGGGGGGGGGAGGGAAATTTGGTTGGTGCCTTTTTCCTGTAAGACCACGGTCACCAATCAGTCGATCGCGAGGCATTCTGGGCCCCCCATTTCTCCCCACCCCCAAGAAGTCCCACTACCTACCTCGAGCAACAATGGAAGTAGTGGCAGCTTTCCACGGAGTGGATAGAAGCCCTACAACTGCGCATCACTTCTGGGGGTTCTGGAAATGCGCTATTTCCTTGCC